TGTCATGTATCCACAAAACAAATGCAAGTTAATAGAGACACATGCACACACAGACACATAGCTAAACACACATATTAAGAAAGATTAATGGTTAGGGTTCAGGTCAGGCTGTAGCCTGGTAGTAAATGAGAGTATTGGGAGATAAATTGTGTCCACTTTGTTTTAATTTTGGTCTTTCTGCCATCCTTGGACCAAAGCATCAATTATTGGGTCATTCTACAATAGCGCTGGTATTTCCAAAGGAAAAATCTTTCCAATATAAAACTTAGCAAACCTATATTATACCTATTGTGCTATATAAAAAAAAATATATAAAACAATTAAATTATTATTCAATTCAAGGTCACACTAATTAATCTTAGAATTAAAAAAAAAATTAGGAAGATATTACAAAAACAAACAGCTATAATAATTCATCTTAATATGATTGTATAATTATTGTAGTTGAATGTGATAATTAACTATCAATAATTTAAATGTATATATTTTTTTAATTGAGAAAAAAAAATTGTAAAATGAGAAACACCAGATCTTTTCACTTGAAAGAATGTCACATGTAGAAACTCATGACCATTAGCCTATAAGTTTATTTCATTAAAATTTATTTTATGAAATATTGCAGTAACATTATTGACATTTACAGTTTTTTTCAGTCGCTAACAAGCGTTTGTCCAACCAGTAGTCACATTTTCAAAACTCTAAACACAATTAGCACAGCATCGGTCTATTGTGGCCATACCATTCACACATTTCATGTCGTTTTCACGCAATATGCAGTCAGTGAACACATTTCCACAATGCTTACATTTTCTTAACAGACAAGTTATACCTCCCAACAAAATTATGGATTGTTTTTGTAGTATTTGCGAATGTTAACACACACCATCCCACAATAGCAAAAACAATATTCCAAACCTTAGATACAGTATAAAAACCTCTGCTCCTGCAATGATATCAGTTCAAAAACAATATATCTCAGCAAAATAATAAACAAACAATTGAATAATTGACCTACAGCTTATTTATGTTGGGTAAATTGGACAACCCAAAATTACCCTTTTTTTTCTATTACATTGACACTTATACAGTAAAATTAGGACTTTGAGGAGTGATGTTTTTGGAAACAGAAACAGAAAAAGACAAACACTGTAATGTCTGGACGAGGAAGAGTAAGAGCAAGGGGCCCAGGGAGAATAGCAGGAGCAGTGAGAGATGCAGTGAGAGATGCAGTGAGAGGTGCAGTGAGAGATGCAGTGTGAGGTGCAGTGAGAGATGCAGTGTGAGGTGCAGTGAGAGGTACAGTGAGAGATGCAGGAGCAGTAGAGAGGTGCAGTGAGAGATGCAGTGAGAGGTGCAGAAGTGCAATATTTGATGAAAACATGTGGCCTAACCCTGAAGATCGCGAGATTAGATACAGTAATTTTGTGCTTTTTTGTAAGCAATACTGTAAAACTTTTTCTGTTCTATCATACCGTGTTTCTACTGTACCTCCTGTTGTAAACAGTAAAGTGAAAAACTGATTTGCTTTTTACTAGAATGCTTTTGAATGTGAACATTACTGTACATGTGGACATACAGTTCCCAACCAAGAAATTTAGTGTAAAATGGTTGGATTGCATGTTTTGCATGCAAATACCTGTAAAACTGAAACATCAAAGTCTATGCAGTTTTTGTAATGTCAACAATAGCCAGTATTTTGAAACCTGGTGTACTTTGATTGACTGCATGTACCGTGTGAAGTGAAAACAAGTGTTATTCTTTGACAGAATAATTTCATTTTGAGACAGATTTCCAGTGTTTTGGTAAAGTTAGTGTGTGCAGAGAAAGATGTGTTCTATTTTGAAATGAAGAGTTAGTATATATTTAACAAAATGTGTTTTTGAGAAGAAAATTAACCATTTGGCCAATTGTGTTTTGTAGGTGTGAGTCTGTGTTAAGAGTTTAGAAAAAGTATCTGAAGTATGGGTAAGCGCTTGTTAGCGATTGAAAAAAACTGTAAAGGAAGAAGAATTTGCATTACAGTTTGATGTTTTGCCATTCAAAAAATTAGTAATGACATCTGCCACCACAATTGTACAAGTTTGTCTGATACACATTAACACACACTCACACAAAATCCGTATGTGAAAACTAATAGAAATGTGTATTTGTGTGTCCAGGTCAAGTGATCACTGCAGGAGTTGCAGAGATATTGAACGGCTATTCCTTGAAAAATATCCTGCGCAAAGTTCAGGGAGAGAAGCAGACTGTGGCTGCATCAGACGCATATGATGACAGTTACCTAGGTAAGAGACGTGTCTGTGTGTTTGCCTTTGAAAGGTAAAGATGCTTTATGGGACACCAGCGATTTGCTTGAGGCCCTGTTTATGGGTCAGGGGAACCGGCCCTCAGTCAATTTAATAAACACGCGCGCACATGAACACACACAAGCTTTTTTTGTGAATGTTGAGGTAACCTTGACCCTCTGTCCCATAGCTCAGTTTGGTGCTGAGTTTTTGCCTTCTGATAACATTTACATCTGGAACTGCAGACCTCAATACACACACACACACAAACACACACACACACAAATTCCTTAAATACACACTTCAAAATCCTATGAGCATTTCCCCTCATGTATTGTAAGTAATCATCATCACTGCTGGAATGTCATGATAAAAGTGCAATCAATAATAAAATGAAGAAATAAAGATAACATGAGTAAACAATTTTTAAACTGACCCACTTTGGTTTGCAGCAGCAACTGTTTTCTCAGTGTATAGTGTCTCTGGTTTTCTTATGCTCTCTCTCTGTGTGTCTGTTAGGGTACTCTGTAGCGGTTGGAGAGTTCACAGGTGATTCTGAACAAGGTGAGAACTTCTAAAGAGGACATAATTTGCTTTTTTACACATTCTTTATTATGTAATGTTACTGTTTGAGCATGAAAAAGTCTGCAAAGTTAAAAGCACAAAGTCTAAATGGAGTTATTCTCTATATCAGTAAGCAAGCACTGTTTCTGAACTCTCTGAAACGTTTTATACTGGGAACATGAAATTCGCGGTTATGGTAAGGGGCATGACATTTTCGAAAACACGCTCAAAACAGTTGACCAATCACAACACACTGGTCCTGCCGACCAATCAGAGCAGATTGCGCTTTTCAGAAGAAGGGGCTTGATAAAGAGGAGCTAAGAGAGGGAAGACACACAAAAAAGAAAATTCTGTCATCGTTTACTCCCCTTCATGTCATTCTAAACCTATATGACTTACTTTCTTCTGTGGAATAAAAAATATCCCATTGGGTATTTGTTTTTCATATAATAAAAAGTGTTGTTTTGGACCCCATTGACTTTAATTGTGGGGACAAAAATATTCTTCAAAATATCATCTTTCGTCAGTTTGTCACATAACGTAATGCTTGGGTTGAGTAGCAGGCCTCTATCTCAGACACATAAACAAACTTTTGCATCTTTTGTAGAGTTTGTGTATGAATACAAATGTATGAGCGAGAGAGAGAACTATGTCTGTGTGTGGTTGTTGTGTGGATTTCTTGGTTGCTGAGCTTTGATCGGACTCTTCAGCCTCAGACCATAATTATAGAGCCCCCACAGGATTCTGTCCCTGACATGCCACCCAGTGACAAACAGCCTGTCTGCAGTCTGTCATCCCTCCCTAACACACACATGTGCACCCACATCGACTCACAAGCAATCATTAGCATCCCTATCCATCAGACAGTACCATTCTGCAAAACCCTGCATCTTATTTACTAAGCGCCCACAATTCAGCTTAAGGCGAGACACTACAGGTAAAAACACCGTAGTGAGATTTTGGGCTTTTTATAAATAGTTTTTTTCAGATTGGTGGAAAGAAAAGATCCAAAATACACTTTGAAGTGTATCGTGTATAGCACTTTATCTATTTGCGTCTGTAGATTTCAATTACAGTACATATCTTTAAAGGCCATTTTCTCGAAATTAGTTTTTTCTCCTGAACTTAGACCGAAATCACCACTTAAGCAGCACTTACATACACCACACTTTACAGTTTAATATCTTTATAATGAAGGTGTTTACTTAGGGGTTTGTTCATACATAATTTGCCTGAGTCTATACATTTTATTTCTTAAAATATGGTAAAAAAAAAATTCTGGCTGTTGACAGTATTCTCTGATTTATGGAGTGATAACAAAGAAATCCTAAATCTCCTCTGTAAAAACCTTTGACACTAATGTAAAAAAACAAACATGTATGCAAATTAGTGCATATTCAAATTAGATAATGCATCATTTGCATATGTAAACATAACAATTAAGAAAACTTGAAATACAAAAAATTTTGGCAATTCTTAATGTAATCAATCAACTGGGGAAGTATGGTGATATCTATTAGTTAATATTTACCCTATTCACTTAGGGAGTGTCTTGCCTTAGACTCTAAAATCTGGTATAAAATCATTTTATGTAAATTATTATGGATTGACCTTATTGACAAAAGTACACATTTTATTTTAAAGACATGTTTGTGTACATTTTCTAAAAAATCTTGTTAAATTTACGGTAAAAAAAGAAATGGCACTTGTGCCTAGCCAGAAATTCTCAATAAAAAAGTGGGAAAATGTTTATTATTTTACAGGATGGCATTTTGCTGTCTGTATATTTTACAACTTATAACTCTATATTTCATTAAGTGATATAATGTCAAAATACTTAACTTCCAAAATCTGCTTTTACATTAAAGGGCACCTATAATGCATAATTCACTTTTACATGGTGTTTGAACATAAATGTGTGTTGGCAGTGTGTGTAAACAACCACCCTATAATGATAAAAATCCACCCAGTGCTTTTTCTTTTTTATCCCCATAATTCATAAGCAGTGTCTCAGAACAATCCGTTTTCAGATTCTGGGCAATGTGACGTACTTTTGCACAAGCCCCTCCCACGACTGTTGACTGACACTGCAGTTTTAGCATAGACCCGCCCTGAGTGAGCTGTGCACACAGTCCGCCATTATTTCGACGTCGGAGCAGCTGTAGACAAGAATGTCTTCTAAGCGATTTAGGTGTTTTGTTGTTGGGTGTAAGAATGAACATAGCAGTCTTCATTTACTCCCAACATCTGAGCTGCTGAAGACGCACTGGATTACTTTTATTTTTGAAGGGAATGCGACCCCATATAACGTTAAAAGCGTTTATGTCTGCGCAAATCATTTTACACTAGACTGCTTTGTGAACGAGGGTCCGTACAAAGCAGGCTTTGCTAAAAAGTTGTTACTCGAGGATGGATCTGTACTAACTGTTCATGATCCAGCTTACAGTATCTGGAGATACTGTTCACTATAGTAACGAAAGGGACAGCACGCAGTTGTTTTACTGATATAAAGGTTACCAGTTTATTAAACATCCACTGAAAAGGTCTGTATATATTTGTTTACTGTTAGTTGTATCGAGTGTTTTGTGTAATTCGCTGTGTATGTTGATGATAATGCAAAGGAGAAAGAGAGTTTATGATAAGACTTTAATGCGCACTTTTTTTACTGTTTTACTCAGCTCTTATGGTGATTTTCTGGACTAAAACAAATGCTTCATCTTGTGAAGTATAATAAACTTCATAAAACTAATCAGTACATTTTTGGCCATCATTCGGACGTGGTCCGCTACAACAGGCTTGTACTAATAGTGGATAATAGCAAGATGACAAATAAGTTATAACCGTAATTTAACTAAACTACACCTGTTCTATCACCACACAGCATATATTCTGTCTCTGTAGGCATCATTGTCCGACTCCGGTTCGAACTGAACACCGCTACTGAGAGTTTCTGTTCTATTATCATTCCGTAAGATGAGATTGTCCCGACACTATAGCGCAAACTCTTGAAGCTCCGCCCTCTTCTTGAAACGGGACTGGAGGCACCAGCTCACTTGCATTTAAAGAGATACACACAAAAACGGCACGTTTTTGACCCCCCCCCCCCCCCCCCCCAAATGGCCATTTTAACATGCTATAAAAATTATCTGTTGGGTTTTTTCAGCTAAAACTTCACATAGACACTCTGGGGACATCATTTTACTTATTGACTTATTTTACATCTTGTAAAAAGGGACATAATAGGTGCCCTTTAAAATGTATTTATAACCTCCATAATAAAACAGGGGGGACAAAAGAAAGTCACATGATGAATCGGAGTTGTAACAAAATTGTTCAGTACATATGTGCTCTGATACTTGATTTGCACTATTCAGATGCTAAAACAACACAGACAGCATGCACAAATAAACAATGCTCTCCATGGTTTCAGTTCATTCTTCCCGGAATTCCCTCTCTGTCTTTCTCATACATATGTTCTATCTGGTCTGGATTTGTGGTGAATCCAGAGAGGAGAGACATGCTGATCTCTTTTTGTCAGAGTTTCATAAATGGGTTCTTGCTGTGGTGCACTTTGCGGTCAAAGGCGTCGGGAAATTTGAGGTTGTGGGGGGAAGGGTTGAGAACGAGTGGGGTGTGATGGGTCGAACGAGGCAGTTAGAAACGAGGCAAACTTTTGAATGGTCTATCTCCGATCTCAGTGGGTGGGACAGATCTGACAGATAGACAGCCACAAACCCTCCTACCACATTACTATCTCCAAGATCATCCATCAGGCCTCAGACAGCCTCTGTCTCCTTCGCTATGTGTCATTTTCCCTTCTGTCTCTCTCTTCTAAATATTTATAATAAATGAGTGACTGACATGGTGTTGAGAGAGAAGAGATTTACTACACTCACAAGTCTCACCTCACTGTTTTCCCCGAGATGCACTAGATAAGTGGTTGTGTGTGTGTGAAACATTCACTCATACACACTCTTCTCAAGACTGGAAAAGTGAATGTTTTATTATTGTTCTGAACTGAAGCACATCATTTGTTTCTTCAAACTCTGCTTGTCTAACATATATAAACCTGCTGGCACATATGTAAATATCTTGGGTAGGTATACTGTATGATTTTCTTATGTCCTTTATGCAGAACTGGTAGCAGGGGTTCCTCGAGGAGCGCACAACTTTGGTTATGTAAGTATACATTCCTAAAAATACTTTGTTTCCTGTGTTTCTGTCATGGTAAGACCAAGAATCAAAGGTCAGGGGTGAAGGTCAAGGGGGAAGGAAGAATGTGAGAAATGTTCGAGAGGTTATCCACTTCATTTGTGTCAATTGAAACATGTATTTATTCAAATAAACAAAGACAAGCTGTATGTTTTGCAAAGATAGGGTTTGTGGATGTGAGTTTCTCATCTGGATGTGATTTGAAGTCTTAAGAAGGAATTCCCAATTAGTGCTGTAGCATCTAGGACGTAGGGGTGTCCCCTTTGGCCCTCAATTAAACAGAATCATATTCAGCTGGATGGGTGGTTTGTGAAGCAGTGAATTTTTTCACTGCATGTTATATTCTTGGGTATTAGCCATATGTGGCTTTGTTTGATTTAGGATCTCAGTCATACGTGCCCCATAAAACATCCTCTAAGATCAATCTGGATGTAATTATTAGAGTGCTAGATGCCTAACATGAGGAAAATCACTCTGGTTTTGAACGGAGGTCAGGCATGTGGTCAGATACACAAGTCCTGCAGGACATCAGGGAATAATCCAGAATCATGACAATCTGTCATGAATGTAAAAAGTGTTTTATGAGCAATAATATAATCAGACTTTTCTTTTTTAGGTGGCTGTGATCAATGCAACAAACCTGACGTTTATTCAGAATTTTACTGGGGAGCAGGTGAGTGACTGTCCAACCTTTTTAAAGAGTTTTTATTTTTTGGGGTAACACTTTACAATGGTTTAATGTGACTAAAAGTAGTTTTTGAATAAGACAGAACTTTTTAATAGCTTTCTGATTCAGCAGAAGATATTATAGCAATTGTTATAGCAATGTGTCTCGTTTCTTTCTTTGTGTCACAATTTAATTTCATTTGATTTCGTATATGATTGTTTCTCACAGATGGCCTCTTATTTTGGATACACCATTGCAGTGACTGATGTAAATGAAGATGGGTAAGTCTACTTGGAAAAACAATGTCCAATGACTCCCATGCAAGGGGTGGTACTAATCAGTCTGTCTGCATTGAGTTCTTTCTTATGAAACCTGAGTTTTATCCCCATGTGTACGACTCAAAAGTGCACATTCCATAGTCATAGTTATTAGATGTTCCTCACGGTCTGTCAGCACTGAAAAAAGTGCAGTATTTATTTTGAGCTAATTTAATTGACCAGCTCTTGCTGTATTCAGTTACAAGTTGTATTCAGAGCCAAATAGGACTATATAAATGATATAAATAGGACCATCCGTTTTTCTTCAGGGTTTGGCTTATTTAGACTCATGCATTACGCTCTGGTTTACCTGACCCTTGTTTAAATGCTCGCATCGTCCAGGGGGGACATTTGATATATATAAAATTTGTTTCTAATTTGGTCTTATGAGGATACAAAACCTTGCTGACACATCAGTGCCAGAGCTCCTTCTCTTATGTCTGAAATGCTGACATGTGTTTATGCCATTAACTGAAAGGCTTCCTTACCAATGGTACATGGTTGAATACACAGTAAATCAGCAGTATACACAGAGAAAGGCCAGTTAAATGATAAACCAGCAATGACCAACGCACAGAGAGTGAATTACAGCTCATTACACTTACTGTATAGCTGTTGAAATGGCTCATTTGATGGAAACTGGGCCAATCAGTCTCTAGTGTTGAAGTCAATGTATCGTTTTTGTTATTTTGGCTACCAAATGCTGGAACGTATAAATCACAGGGATTTATTTTTAGATATCAAATAACACAACTTGGTTCTATATGTTATCTCAGATCTGAGAAGTCTTAGAAGTACAAATGTGAAATTTTCTATGTTCTCCACCATTTTTGGTGGTTTTAGTTCTGGTTATTCTCAGAATATTATTTATGGGCCTCTAAAAATGCAAAGAGGTGTTTGTATCAAATTTGTGCATTTATTTGTGCACACACAGGCTAGATGACGTGCTAGTTGGAGCCCCACTCTACATGGACCGTGAGTTTGAGAGTAAACCACGTGAGGTGGGCCGTGTGTACTTGTACCTGCAAGAGGACGTGCTTCTCTTCTCCCCTCCCATCACACTCACTGGAACGCACCTGTTCGGCCGGTATGGAAGTGCCATCGCCCCTCTTGGAGATATCAACCAGGATGGATACTCTGGTAAGTGTTCGTGCTAATGCACTTGTATTGTGTTGTATTGCATGTTTCAAGAGTTTTTTCAAGGCCAGTGAGACAGAAGTTACATATACTCCCATTTCCTACTTGGCTTTTTTTGTGTAGGATATCCTGTCACTTTATCACACACTTAAAATGTTCAGTTTTAACCCATTCGGGAAGTGTAAAATTAGTGATTTGTTGCCCTTGTCTGCATTTTCCTGTGAAGAGTTGGGTGTGAACCACATGGTTCATATTCCTGTTGCTGGTCAACCAATATTATTGGAAAACAACCATAAAGGGTTAGTTCACCCAAAAATGAAAATTCTGTCAGTAATTACTCACCCTCATGTTGTTCCAACCCCCTAAGACTTTCATTCATCTTCGGAACACAAATTAAGATATCTTTGATTGAATCTGAGAGCTGTCTCACTCCTCCATAGGCTTCTATGTAATTGAAACTTGCCGGCCCTGAAAGTTAGTAAAGACAATGTTTAAAATAGTCCAAGTGGTACTGTGTTCCAAAGATGAACGAAAGTCTTACGGGGTTGGAACAACATGAGGGTGAGAAATTACTGACAGAATTTTCATTTTTGGGTGAACTAACATTCGTTTGGGTGACCTTTAACATTCAACAAAAAAATTATGTGAGTCAACAACACACTATACCTTCATGTCGCCACCCGTGACACAGAAACACTTTTAAATGTCAAACATAACAGCATTAAACTCTAACAGGTCTTTTCCTTTATTAAAACACTTAAAATAACACATAATTTTTATAACTTCCAAAGTTACTCAGACAATTTCGTTACTACAACATTTTTTTAAGTTTAAATTACGCGCAATATTAAGTTGATCAATATTGAGTTGATTAAGTCAACAGAATTTATCAAAATAATTTTTGCAAAATAAAAGGTTTAATCTATCAATCAATAAATTAGAATTTTTATGTATCATGTAATCAAGTGAACTGGTAATATGTCCCCTTAATTTTGAACAGCTGGCCTGACGTGGCAAGCAGAAAAAATCCTTCTAGTTGAGCCCTGCCTCTCAATTTCTGTCCTGATCAACGCAAATCCTGTTGTCATGGCAGCATTTCTCTATTTATTATGAATTGTTCAAGAGTTCCTCCTGCATCTGAAGTGAACCAGGTGTCCAGGGGTGGAGTCCAGGCCGGACTAATCACCCACAGATCATCTCCATCAGTGCAGACAGATTGAGTTGGGCTGGGAACAGAGAGGTTTTCTCTTATAATGATCTGTGTGTGTGTGTGTGTGTGTGTGTGTGTGTGTGTGTGTGTGTGTGTGTGTGTGTGTGTGTGTGTGTGTGTGTGTGTGTGTGTGTGTGTGTGTGTGTGTGTGTGTGTGTGTGTGTGTGTGTGTGTGTGTGTGTGTGTGTGTGTGTGTGTGCGCACGCACATGAGAGTGTGTGTGTGAGAGAGAGCGTGTGTGAGAGTGTTATTGCATGCAATCAATGAATCAGCTCCATATGTTACTGTAACATGACCTGATATGTCGTTGTCGATATGTTTAAAATTAAAATGACACTTGATGTGGATGAAAGAAAGATGAGGATATGATATCTATGCATGAGATGTAAACCACCTGATCCTCAATCCACAGTCACTGATTTAAAAAAAAAAACATGTTGTAATATAAGACTTTTCAACTTGTATGAAATGCCAATGTGCTTAGAGACTCAAATACTGTATATAATTTGTCTGAGTTTCAAAGAAGAGCTAATGGAAACAAAACACTTTAATTCATCCAGGGATTCACTTTGTGGATTATTTATGCGTCTTGATTCACATTTTCTGGCTATGTAAAAGTATCGCATAATGAGATGATGATGTCTGGGAGTTTTGGAGAATAATGACTTAATCAATATCTGATATGGTCATAAAGAACCTGATATCACACACTGCATCTCTGTTACATCAGCCATATGGCTGCACTGGAGTGATGAAGTGACACTTGTCACAATGTCTCTGTTTGTTTTTGTACTTCTGCTGTATGAATTATTCTGTCATTTAGTCTCTCTAGCTGCTTTGCTCTGAGCTTTTTTTGTTCAGTTTTGTTGCTCTGGTGCCTCTAGATGGATTTGCTGTTACCTGCGTTCATGCGAAACAATAGTGCAGCAGTCGAATACTGACAGTGAGAGGCATCACTTATGTGTGTGTATACGGTCTCTAGTGTCCTGTGACCTGTTGAACAAACTTGGGGTAGGTTCTAGTAGGTTTAGAGTTGACGAAACAAATCCAACCCGTTTTAGATCAGGTTCAGGATGTTCACAGCGCCTGCTATAAACTTTCCTAGTCAACTCAAGGTTTGATCCAGAGATTATGATTCTCTTTAGAGTGCGTGCACCAAAAAGTGTGACATCTGCAGCAAACAGCCAATCACGAAACATGATTAACTTCTAGTGAGATATTCAGCACAGTTCACTTATCTGCTGAAGGTTAAGAGATTAAGAATAATAAATATCATGAATTGAAACATTTACATGACAGGAAAAAGCAGCTGCCACAAAAGTTGGAGACGGCAGATAAAAGCAAATATCTAACTATATATGTGTGTGTATACACACACACACACATATACAGTGTATATATATATACATACATACATACATACATACAGTATATTCACACACTATATGTTTAACCATTTGATTGCCCTCATTCTAATATATTCTAATCTTAGACCTTAGTCCTGCCCATCATGCTGTCTAGCATATAAGGCAACGAGAGCTCTCCACTGCGCACGAACAGACGCACAGTCCTCGAGTTGCTTCAAGTCTTCTTTGAACGTGGATCTCCAGTTGGTCTTAGGTCGTCCACGTCCAAGCATGGCATCTGGCGGTTCCCAATACATGGCGCGCCTCGTAATCCGGTGCCGGTCCATTCGCAGAACATGGCCTGCCAATCGTATTCTCTGTTCGGAGATGATGATTCTCAGTCTGCGCATTTTACTCCACGTTGGTGATGTGGTCTAGATAGCTAATTCCAAGGATACGCCGTAGACACCGCTGATGAAATACGTCAACCTTACGGGTGACGACCACTGTGACCTTCCACGTCTTGCTGCCATAGGTGACAGTAGGCAGGACGATCGTTGCGTACAGACGCAATATGTGTGTATATATACAATATATATATATATATATATATATATAAATCCATTTATTTAACAAAATGCATATATGTTTTATCATTTTAATTCCATTAGGCCCAGAAATTGAGATTAGGCCCGCGAGCATGATTTTATATGTCTGTTATTTTTGGACCCAGTGGTTTTTTACTGTGTGTCTGTAAACGTCTGTTTCTCTCCGTTGTGGCATGTAGTGTATGTATGCAGTCGATTAAGGCCAAGCCACACAATTAAGTATCTTGTAAAGTGTCATAATGAATTTTCTCTCATATATATTATGCTGTTCTTTTTCATCGACCATCAGGCTGTTATTGTTGGGCTCTTTGGGCATTGTGCCAGCTACTGTGCCCACTGCCAGAAAACAGGAAAAGGAAATGATCAAGAATCACCAAAAACACACGATGGATATTTATAGAAAGGAACTCGTCCAAGAGAAACAGTGAAACAGAGCATTATTACATACACTGACGCACGTGCACACACACACACGCACACGCACACACACTTCCCACTCAGACTCAGACACACACACACGGTGGTCTGGTGGACGGAAATGAGTGCTTTCTTGTGGTGATGATTTTATTTTTCTAAGTGTAATTAAACTTTTCTTTCCCTTCTACCTCAGAATGGTTTGCTTAGCTTAGAAGATTTCCATGAGCACACATTCCTCTCAGATCTGTCATTAGTCATGGGCTTTCTCTCTTTCCCGAATCTGTATCCTTTTGTCCCTTTGTTTTTGGCCATTCTTTGGAGTTTATCAGCTATTTTAATAATAGAGTGAGAAAATAGATCGAGGATGCTCAAGGTCCGGCCTAAGGGCCAAATGCAGCTCCCCATTAGGTTATCAGCCGATAACTATCTTTAACAACATTGTTATAGTTTTTGACAGTTCAGTTGCAGTTTCCATGTCTAATCTGCAACCAAGTGACACAACAGGACAAAATTGGTTCCTTTATAATCAGAAAGGTTGTTTATTTTGCAGGTGCTTATTATGAGGCTGTTCTACATCATGCCACTTCGTGTTGATTTCTTGCACACAACTTAGTTAAATTACATTTCGTTAACAGATTAATTCATGATTTCTTTTGGCAATTTATATATATATATATATATATATATATATATATATATATATATATATATATATATATATATATATATATATAATAAATGACATGAAAAATATTTATATTTTAATATAATTTAAATTATTTTTTAAAATAATTATATATAATAATACATTTATTTATTTTGTACAAAAATTATAATAATTAATTTTAAAAAAGTTAAAAATTAATAAATTATTTTGATCCAGAGCGTTAGGATATTCAAATACTGTCATCATTATTGATGCATACTCAGACTGTATTTTAATGGGAAAATCTGGAGTTACCATACTGGAAGCATTTGTGAATTTAATGAATGTGTTAATGTGTAAATAAGATGTCATACTTAAATTCATATGGACTATATTGAGTGGAAAGGGTTTCCAGCACTTATAACTATTTTGATAAATATAAAAGACTGGTATAAAATGAAATGAAACCCATGTATCATTACTATTACCAGATCATTCACTGGCCCCTGGTCATTTTCTAAAAGTGGCCTTAAAGCAAAGTAATGTGAATATCCCTGACATAGATCTTTATAGACCTTATTTCCTCAACATCCCAGTCTTTCTGCCCCTCAGTGGGCATCTCTGTCTGGGTCAGCAGTGTTCTGTTTCTTCAGTTTTCCTCTTGTGTGTGTGCCGCTGCCCAAAATGTAGGTTAATGATTTGAGCAGTGCTGCTGGCAGGAGGAACACTTGAATAGATAACTCTACCCTGGAGATTTATTGGCCATGCAGTAGTGGACTTGGACTTGTGCTTGTGCATGAGTCTGTTATTGTTCTGTAATAGTCCCTCAGTGCCGAGGAGAAAAGAGCGGTCGCTCCCTGTGGAGCTTTGTGTAAATCATCAGTATTCTTTTCAGAAGCATCCTCTTTTCTTCTGCATAAAAGCATCTCTCTGTTCCTCTCCACCATAGCCAACACTGAAATAATCAATAATAAATGATAAATGACAAAATGGAGCAGAGCCAAATGTATAGCACTTAGTGTGAATCTTGGTTTTCTGGTAGTTATGAAGCCTGTTTTTACATAAGAGTAAAAACAAAATACAACTTTGTGACTTCATGTATCCAGATCTAAATATCTCACAGTAGCCACTTGATTTTTTCTGTATCTCACAAATGAGTTATATCTCACTTTTCGACTATGCAACTTTATATCTCAAATTGCAACTTTACATCTGATATTGAAACTTAATATCTCGCATTGCAACTTTCATTTTAGAATTTAGACTTTATATCTTATTTATATCTCGCATTGCAACTTTACTTCTCACATTGCAACTTTACATCTTAGAATCGCAACTATATCTCTCAGTTGCAACTTTACATCTCCCAACTGCGTCTTTAAATCTAAGAATTGAGACTTTGTCTCACATTGCAACATAATGAGATATACAATTTGCAATTGTGAGATTTAAATGTTGCAACTCAGAGAAATACTTGCGAGTGTGAGATATGAAGTCTCAATATGAAGTTGAGACTTTATATCTCACTATTTAGAATTTATTCCTCATAATTTCCACTTCATCACACAGTTGAGACTAAATCCCACAATTGATTGTATCTCACAGCTGCAACTTTACTTCTCACTTTTTTCAAATGTTTTACTTTATCTCAATCTTTTTTATTTATTTATTTAACTCTGAGGCTTTCATAGGCTCAAACAGGCTTTCATAGGTAGGCTGAGGGTGGAAACAAATAGAATGTACATCTTGTCTAGTTTGTGTATAGTGTTAATGCTGTTATTGATGAAATATGTTTTCTCCATTTCTTTTTTACTCAGACGTGGCAATAGGGGCTCCGTTCGCAGGTGAGGACCGTGGTGGCAGGGTCTTCATCTATAATGGACAGAAATCTGGACTGATGTTACAGGCATCTCAAGTGCTGAGAGGTGACTGGGCCTCATCCGCCGTCCCAGCAGGCTTTGGATTCACCCTGCGTGGAGCATCTGACCTCGATAACAACCAGTACCCTGGTGAGTAAAGAAAAACCTTCGGTCTCTTCCTCTCTCTGTTTACGCAAGTTTCTGTTAAGACAATCATGCTTGGGAACTGATGTAAGCCAGGGAGATTTGATGTAGGAGGAATGGAAGACTGGACTGAGACATCCAGGTTGAGTCACTTTGTTGGTCAGTCCACTGGTCATTTTGTACAAATGTGTGAAAGTATTTCCACTCAATCTTGTTCTTTTCTTTTGTTTTTCTTTGCCTTCTGTTATTGTGGGATAGTGTTTCTGCATATTATTCTCATTGCTCTGTTTATCACGATTGATTTATAATGTTTTTATTGAGAGCAATCTTCCACATGATGAGATCTATGTGATTTCTGACACACTCTGCTGTCTGAACCTCATCAAATCACGCATATATTAATGAATGCTGTTTCTGCTTGTTTTCATTGAACACAGTGATTTGGGGTTTACCTGAAAAGGTCAAATCTTGTTGAACATTTTAGAGCCGATTGTTTCAAGACTATATAGATAAACATTTGCAGGTGACTGAACAAGCTATGTATAGCCTGTGTGTGTGTGACAGACATGTTGACTGGGCTCCAGATGAAGTTTTAAGGGTTCAACTCTTGTTCCTCAGACCCAGGTGTTTCTGAGTATCTGTGAGAAGAAATGATCAGGAAGTTTAAAGCAGCTACATAAATGTTTTACATTTAAATTTTTTATTTTGAATTTGAAATGATCCCAACTAGTCTTCACATAGTGTTTGTGGATTAGTTTATATTGAAATGAACTGTCTGAGTGAATATTTAGAGCTTTTAGAAAAATACAGATCTGCATGTTCCCACAATCCATCACAGCTGCACCATAATCTTGTTTTGACTAAAAGAAACATGAATTAACTGATTCATTTTCAGAAACGGAACTACAGAAACACCCAGCGTGTTTCTAAAGCCAAACTCTGCTGTAACGCCACAAGCCCATTTCAACAAAAACAGAGCGGTGTATTCATTCTTTCTGTCCTTTAATCTCCCCTTTCATTTTTTAATGGCATTGTACAAAATCATCAAAGCAGATGCTGTCACATGCTTTCTTTATAGAGACAGGAAGTCAGATGGTTAGGCAGCTTATATGCACATGTGTGTCGCATGAGTGTGTGTGAGAGTTTGCTCTTTCATGGTGACAGGATTGTCATCTTAAATATGCTCTAATAAACGCAGATCTTTTCCATACATGAAAACCATAGATGGATGGTAGAACAATCACACACAGGTGTACACACACACACACAATGATGTTGAACAGACCCAGAAAGCAAAACGAAAGACAGAAAACAGGTTTTCCCGTCTCTTCCTCTCAGAATGGATAAATCACAGCTTTTTAGAGATGTGATCTCCGCAATCTTTGATCTGTGTGAATGTTCTAATCGACCTCTATGATGTGTGTGCATTTACATATCTTCAGATCTTTATCACTTTCATCAGTTCATTCAGATTAAAATTGCTTTGTTGTATTCCACTTTCGTAAGTTGCTTTGGATAAAGGCATCTCTGCTAGATGAATAAATGTAAATGGGGCATGTTGAACTTTTTATTTAGTTATGGTTTCTTAAAGAAACTATGGTTTCTTGCATAATTTAGTTTTACATGACCATTTTACACCTCGTAGATTTTGATATGTAAATAATCTCTATCATGATTTTCTAACATTTAAGCAAACTGTATGTAAACTGCCATAGTGTTCCATAACATGGGTAGATATGTAAATGTAAGCACTCTTATATTAATGTGTTGATAGTTCTAACATGTTCTGAAAGATGATTTTACAGCTTAGTTTTGATAAATGGTCCTGGTTGAATGAGGAAGTAGCTTTATGTTACTTTGTGTCTGAAATCGGTTTATAGAAATTTAGTAAATGGCCTGATTTCTTTTCATCCGGATTATATTGGGTAGCTCCTCATAAAATGTGCATTAAAGGGATAGTTCACCCAACATGAATTCTGTCATTATTTACTCAAGCTCATGTCGTTCCAAACTTGTATGACTTTTTTTCTTCTGTGGAGCATATTTTGAGAAATGTCTCAGTGTGTTTTTACATACAATGGAAGTCAATATTAACCAAATCTTTTTGGTTACCAATATTCTTTAGAATATCTTCTTTTGTGTTCTGCAGAAGAAAGTCATACAGCTTTAAAACAACATGAGGGTGAATAAATGATGACAGAATTTTAATTTGTTAAAAATAAAAAAATTTAGAAGAACCATGCCTTTGAGCATCAAATATCAGAATCAATTTAAGCACTCGGGTTGAAACGTGTATCTTCCTTAAGAGACTTTTCAACTGGGGTTCCTCAGGGCTCTACCCTTGGGCCCCTATGTTTTAGCTTGTATTTGAACGATCTGTCCTGGTGTAAATATTCAAATGTATGCAGATGACACTGTGATGACACTGTTATGTACATGTCAAAACCAGTGAATAAGTGGCACTTAAATTATCTTCTGCTATGACAAAAAAATATGACTGACTTACTCAGTGATGTTAAATGCTATATATGTTCAGAAAACAGCGTGCATGTTTTTTTACTATTAAAAATAAGAAATTTTTGTTAATGGTGAGAAATTACAAATTATTTTAGACTCAGACCTGACATTTGAGAAGCATGTAAAAAATGTGTTCTGTATAGTGATAAATAACATTAGAAGTTGTTTATTTATACAGAATCAACTTTCTACAGATGCTGCTAAAGTTATCTGCAATCAATGATATTTTATAATTTTTAATACTGTGTATCATCATGGTCGCAAAATCTACTCTTAAACCTTTACATAGTTTATATAAAGACAGACAAGAGCTTCAAGACTTTGGTCACTCAGATTTTTCTATAAGAGCTGTTCATATTTGGAATACATTACCAATTATCATTAGACAGTGTCCTCTTATGTCCTCTGTCACTCTTATGCTGTTCAAATTACAAATAAAGATATGGCTAAGGAAGGGCCAAATATGTGCTCATAGAATTTTTTTTAACACTTCTATAGCATTTTACTTTTCTTCCTGCCCTGGGACAGCAGATGTAATTTAGCTCTGTAACTAATTCTGGGGCAGTCATGTAGTGTCCATTGTCCCTGTTAAATACACTTTTAAAATAATTATAATAAATTGCTTGGTTGGTTGGAAACTTGGTTGACAGTGTTTGAGTATGTCTACAGATATTAGAACTAAAATACTGTTTTCCATTAACTCTCTACATGAATTAAATCATCACACACAGATACCTTTCCTGTTTATACGCCTTTTCATTTGTGTGTTTGGGGTTTATGTGAGGGTTAGAGTGAACTTTGGTTAAATGCAGGGTTAAAGTCAAAGGTCAAGGGTCATTCATCATGATCTGCTTAAACAGCAGTGGAGATTACATACTCCACATTTCCTGTCCACTGCTTCAGGCATCGTTCTCAGATAAAACACAAAACAAACATACTCACATTGCGCATTTAACAATTACTTCATTCATTTGAGAGAAAAACACTTTAAAATACCAAATGGCGACATATAGGAACAGAATTTGTCGTTCTGTGAATAAAAAAGGAAAAATTGTGGAAAGATTTGCGATTCAGAATTCCCCTTTCCACTATATTTCTACATTATATTGCTTCCAAAAACATGATATGTTGTTACTATGTGAAACTAATGTTACATTCAGGACCCATTAGAAATGTTTTAGGAACTTGGGTGGGCACCCTATAAATATGCATGTACTACCAATCCGATCAAGAACATTTCTATCCAAAATCTACAGGGAGGAGTTCGGTTTTGGTTTTCTTTTTGGATGGATGCGTGATTGTATGCCAGGTGAAATGAGAGAGAAATTCTGAACTGGAGGTAAAAGAGAAGATTTCATTAGTTGGCTGTGCTCCGGCATTTCATTGGCTAGAGGATGAAGATGACTATAACAGACTCTAACCTTATTAAAGTTCAAGTGTTTGAGCTTCTTCCATCTCCTCCCTCCATCATTCCACCTCCTATTAACCTATTCCTGCGGTTAAGACCCTTGTGTTGTGGTGGCCGGAGGGTTCGACCTGAATATTTTGAGGTTGACTATTGCATTGCACACACACACATTTACACCTCACTGCCATTCTGAGGAAGTTAAGCGCTCAAATGAACTTTCCAGATGTGTGAATGTAATAAATTGAATTATTCTGTTATTTTCTCTGCCTTTACAAGATGAGAGCTCATGCCTTCAGGATGTGTGTGTGTCTGTCAGTCGGTGTTAGCATGCGTGTTTCTGTCCATTGTGCTCGAGGTGTGTTTTCTGTCACAATACCAAAAGCTGCTGACTCTGGTTTACAATGGGCTCTTTGCCAGGGCTGTTTTATTCCTGAAAGCAGGACCTGATGGAAAGCAAAGCCAGTGATCGACCTCAGTGAAACAGGAATCAAAGCCGCAGTCTCTGAGCACTCATTAGGGTGCTGGAGCTGTTCTGGAACATTCCTGCATGCGAGTCTCTGAGTTTGCCTGACTGCATGCATCCCTTCAGGAGCGATTTGTACTCTTCCTTCCTATTAATGCTTTGTACAATTCAAAAACTAAGGAGAGAGAATGGTCTCTTGCTCAAGTTTGATTAAAGACTGGATGAAACCGACCTTGTGTAAAGGTTAAAGTTTAATGTTTACTTATTCGAAATTCTATACTTATCACAAAAACTATTTCACCATGAAAGAAAACAAAATGTCTAATATTGTCTGAGCGGGTGTCAGAAGCAGCTGTTTTGCTATGGTTTGTTGGTTCAATTATAGTTTAATGAGATGTCAGAGATGAATGGATGGTTATAGCTTTAGCAGAGGCCATAGAGGAAGCAACAGACCACTAACACACACACACTCTGCCAACATTTCCACTGTTCCATCTCAGGTACTGGAGGTGTGGTTATATAAAATATAGAATATTTGGTTATAATGTTGTCCGTGACCAGGTTTTGTTTTGTCTGATCATTAAAAAAAAACATTTCCACCGAAGACATTTTCACTATCCTTTCCTTGTTACTTTTGCTAGGTTACATTAGTTAAATAAAAGATTGCGTTGCTGATTTTGAGTAGGGCTTGCTATGTAGAGAAACAGTAAAGATTTAGGAGGAAGAGGAAAGAATGGAGGAATGTTTTCAGTTTTAATATATTTTGAATTATAATTTAGTCCTCTGATTGCAAAGCTGAATTTTCAGCATCATTATTCCAGTCTTCAGTGTCACATAATCCTTCAGAAATTATTCTAATATGCTGATCTGCAGCTCAAAAAAACAATTTTTTTTGTTATTATCACAGTTAAAACGGTTGTGCTGCTTAATATTTTTGTGGAAACCATAATACACGTTTTTTAATAGAAGGTTTAAAGGAACATAATTTATTTGAAATATAAATATTTTGTAACATTTTAAATGTTTTTGTTGTCACTTTTTATCAGTTCATTGTGTCCTTTCTAAATAAAAACATTAATTTATATACATAAGACAGAGAGAGAGAAATCATATTAGCTAGTTTTATTCATAATATCACAATAACGTGAACAGAGGTGAATTTTAAATATTTTCACCTTTGATTTAAACAGATTTCATCATATTTGTCTTATTCCCAACTGCTTTATTTATTAAGAAATATAATTTTTCTCTTTTTTCCCTTACTGTAATCAAAATGCGTGAAACAAAACATGTTTTCATTATTTTTATATAAAATCCATTAAACTACTCCTATACATGTTTCGTCTACCAGGAAAACAGCAGCAACTGCATGCAGGTATTAGCAATCAATTACTAATTAATTATATTAAGTTTTGTGGGACTAGTTGGTTTGTCTCACTTAACATTAGATGTACAAATTATTGATGGTGATTCAATTGATGGTATTATTAAACCTTGTCACATGATTTTTGTTAAGGCCCTGATTCATTTAAACTACATTACGATTCTTCCATTGCATCATTAAAATCCCATATAGGTTAGAATTCATGTTTGTTGTGCCCACCTTCATTAAGAGAAGAGGGAAACCTTTCAGCATGGTGTATTTACCTTTCCTTTAATGAAATGTGGCTCGGTGAACCTCTGAGTTGAATGAGATTAAAGCCTCACACGTTCTCCGTGGCTCTCTGGGGTTTCTCTTTGGCTCTGTTCAGAGATGGCAGGTGATGCAAGACGCTAGACTGGTAGAATGAGCAACGGGTCGACCAATCTTTGATAGAGACTGCTGGAGGCCCAAATCACTTCCAGCTGCAGTGTGCTTTGAAGCTTTATGATCCAGCCACTCGTTCTCTTTCTTCGTTCTCTTGCAACACACATTTTTCACATTTTCATATATATTCTTTCATACATATTTTCATATCATATTGTGTCTGTCCTGCACCTCTTAGTATATTTCACTCTCTTTACAGATTTGCTGGTTGGTGCATTTGGAGTGAGTAAAGTTGTGGCCTACAGGTGAGACATTTTACACTTTAAATGCACCATATAATACAACAATGTCAATTACAAATGTTGACAATTTTATATTTTAAAATGTTGACATGCACCTTCATAATAAGTTGTAACTCACAGTGGGTTGTTTTTGGTTTTGAGTTTTCTGTTTCTCAGCTTTAAGTCTCAGCATTCAAATGATGGCAATGCTACAATGGCATTGACCGGAAAAAAATCATCTATCACAAAATTGTGTTTCTTTGTTTCAACCACAGAAAAACGTCAACATGTCACATGACATTACATTTAGTTAGCAAGAAAAACAAAAGACATTTAGAGAAGAGCATATTACAAAAAAAAATATATATATTCACTATGTCATATCATGCTCTATATTTTTACCTAACCAGTAATTCATGTCTTAATTATTTGAAGTAAAAATCTGAAAATTGTCTGGAATCTTTCTAGGCCATATTCTCAAAAACATGTTTTTATGACAACCATTTAAATTAGATAATATCTCAACAATGGTTTCGAGAAATGTAATAAGAACCAATAAGTATGCCATTAGAAAGCATAGACTAATCGAAATTTTCAGGGTCAAAGCTATTAAATAGATCATTCATTTTTATACATTTTTAAAATATATTTTAGATATGAATTTAAAGTGTGAAAATATATATAATAGACAGTTTAATAAGGCTAGAAAAAAAATTCTACTGAATTAAATGTGAACCTTGTGAAATTTATTTAGTTTTTCTTCCCATTTTAGTCAAACCAATATTATAAAACAAATGCCCTTTAAGCTGACTACAATCAGAACACACAGTTTTCTGTAATAAAGCAAGGCAGGCAATTTTATTTTATTTTTGATAATAAAAATAAGAACAAAGAAGCAAATTACAAACAATAGGACAAATACAATAGAAAAAATATACAAATTAAATAAACTTTGTTTTTCAGGTAAAGTAGCATAGGTTTATTTAACATGTAGTAAGAAGTACTACTGAAATTAAATAATCAAATGTAAAAATAAAACACTTCAACGGTACGAACTAAATATAAATTGATTAATATTAAAGATAAAAAAGTGATTTTTAAGAATGAATGCACGGATATAGTTGCACATCCGATTTTAACCCATTTGTTTTTGTTCGCTAAGGACATAACAGACTCTGTTTACATTTAATACTCCACACGATGTGCATTTTGACATAATTTTGTGTAGCTGTGAAAGAGAACTGAATTCGTGATCGCATGCATGTGAGAGGCGGAATCTGTGTGCGCACTTCGGCTGTGTGTCCGTCAGCGCGAGCACCGCATTGAGTCCATGTTCGCGGCTTATTGTGATTAACGTCAATAACTTTAAGTAACTTTTAGTACTACTGCGAAGTTAAAAAAAGTAAAGAAGTGTAACACTTCGAACAAAATTGATGCAAATCGGTAAAAGATAGAATCGTAATTCAGATATGAATCGATTTTTTCCTGCACCCCTAATATATATATACATATATTACTAGTTTGTAGCAACATACACATATTCTGACCTAAACTTACTTACACCTTTCACTACACTCACATGTTTTCTCAATTAGAGTGAACGGCACAGAAAACACCTGTGTTGAGGTTTAGCTGGAAAGAAACCTGATACATATGAAGTTGTTTTTCTCTGTTCCATGATACGATAGTAACATATTTTAAAAATTGCATAACAGACTATATTGAAATGTCTGGCTTCATAATGCATTCATGAAGAATTCTTCAGCTGTAGTTGACAGGAGTAGTCAGTCAGCGAACATTATCTACAGACTTGTGGCATGTCTAGTCTGAGTAGTCAAGACTTCGATTGGGTGTTTTAGCTCAGGTTTCCCTCAGAAATGTTTCAAAGTAGTCCCTTTTTCCTGCCTCAAAGACACCAAAAACACACAAACACATTAACAAGTCCCAGCACACACACACACAAGCGGTGTCAGTGTTAAAGCGATTAGCTGTAGTGGGCTCTGGTGTATTTGTGTAAGCTAACATTTCCACTGTTAATCCAGTTTGAGTGCTAGTCTCAACAGACTGAATGCGAGAGCAGAGCAGAGCAGAGACTGGCCTCATGTTAAGTTCTCATTTACTCAGCCTGTCTGATGTTTTATTAGAATAAGACTCTGAATGTTTAGTTTCTGTTGGTTGTTCTTTTTTAAATGTTCTTTTAGTGATTCTTTATGTAATGTTTTGCACTGAATGTTCATTCTATCTGACATATCACTGAAATAGTTGTCCTGAGAAATAACTTCAATTAGCTTTTTTAGCTAATCAGCAATGCTTTCTTCTTGTTAGTCATTTTGAATATTCAGGTTTGCTGATAGAGAGAGGGAGACTTTTTTGTGTTGTGGAAGTTAGCAAAATTTTGGATGTAGTAAACAGTCAAAGAGGTACTGTATATATTTTGTTTTAAGAAACTCATATTCACATTTAAAATGATCACTTTTTACAATCCAATCATTTCAAGATACCACATCTTTTTCATTGAATATCCTATTTCACTCTGAAATATGTCTCATTACAGAAGTAAAATGTGTTACCAACTGAAATTCAAATTGACTTTAAGTCTTGCTATTTCTTTCGTTAAACACAAACGTATTGTGAGTATGCGCTGATGAACTCTGGTCGGAGATACAGGGTTCTATTATGCAAGCATAACCAATACAAATATTCATTTGTACCACTGTCTGTCAAATTAATTAATGAGCGATTTCAGCAAGAAGATAAATAACTGCAATAGCGGTATAACAGACAGGAACTGAGTGTGGTGTTATGAGATGTACTGTTTTTTTTAATGATGCAGGGTTTTTTATGATTTGATATGTTTTTTAATGTTGTTTTTGTTACATGTGTTATGTGTTGATACGGCAGCAGTTCTCTAATCTAAAACAAATTTATCCTAAGGGAGACAATAAATGTTACCTTGACCTTGACCTTGAAACAACTTTAGTGAGTTCTTAACGAGTATGTTCAGCTCTGAATTCAGCTTCCAATTCAGATTCATTGCCACAATAAAATCATATCAGTAATTTATTTATTTTCCGCGATATTATTCCCACTCTATTGTCTCCCAACAATGCTAGGGCAAGGCCAGTGGTCACCGTGAACGCTCAGCTGATTTTGATGCCCAAAATTTTCAACCCTGAGGACAAGTCTTGCCGCATGCCCAATTCTGATGACATGGTAACCTGGTAAGTGTCAACTAACTATTTATCCACTGCTACTTCTGACACAAAGAGTGACTCCTATGTACTACATGCTCATAAAAAAAAACATTTGAAAGTTCATGTTTTGATTTATCTCTTCTAGATGAAGTGTTCAGTTGATGGAACAGATATGTTGGTCTTTAGTCCTGTTAAAGGGTAAACCAAAGCAGTCAGGGCCAAAGAGCTATGGCTGACTTGGAGGTTTTAAATCCATGTGGTCTATAGTACCACATTACAGCAGTTTTTTCTTCTCTGTGGTAAAACTAAGTGTTTCTGGAAGTCTCAATACATTCTTCCAAACCACACAAACATACACACAACCCTGCATTCTTACCCCGTATGTGGATGGACATTGTGTCCCACAAGCAGTTTTTGGGCTCTGTGATGGTAAACATACCAGATCTGTTTGGCTGCTTGGGCTGCATGTGTCTTTGTGTTAGGGTTGGCATTGGGAAGAAAGGACTGGAGGTTTTGGAGAGACAAACGAAAGAACTAAAGTGTGGAATTCTGCAATAACAAAAGAGTAGCTTAGCAAAATAAATGTACAAACTGTGGTTGGAAACAGTGAGACACACACATGAACACAGTGATAAACAGAACAAGAAGAGAGCATTAAAAGATAAAAAAATAAAAAAAACACCAGCATGGTTAAGGTTGAGAAAGGTTGTCTCTAGAGTTTAATTTGTTTCATTTTGTTTTATATTCTTCTTAATATAATATATAATATTATACATAATAAATAAAAAGCTAGTGAAATGCTTCTGGTTAGAATTTTTTTCTAATTTAATAATTTAAATGTAATATAATTTAATTTGTTTCAATTATATTTTTATATAATATAACAACAGCAATAATAGTATTATATTATATTATTACTGTACATAAAACAAATGTGATAATTAAGAATTTTGTTAACTATAAATTATATTTTTTATGTGAGTTAAATTTATTTGAAGACAGTAATGCTTTATAAATGAAGGTTTACCAATAAAACAGCCTATTTACATGCAGTGTAAAAGTGTGTTAGATGACAAGTAAATAGTGTCAAACCACAGACACACACGACTGCCATTAATACTGAGGAGTGAGCAGTAATTACAGATGGGTTGCAGGGCTGGAAGAGTTCCAGTGGGGTCAGAGCAGGAGTCATGGGGGGTCAACCTCCGGGCACTGGCGTGTTTGCACGGGTTGTAGGCCTGCATGATTATGCGTTTACCCTTGTCACGGGGGAGGAGAACTAACAAGGCATCATTAAATTAGCGGGGCCACTTCCTCCCCTAAATATGCATACTCTCTCCCCTTTCTCTCTCACTGTACAGCATACACATGACTTCTGCTGTGTATTTTAAAATGCACCACTACCTGGAGGGGTCATGGCAGGTTTTGCATGGTTCGAGCACAACGCACAATGCTGGATTCCATCAGGCATGGCCTCATGGGTATTTCGTGTTGTTCATGAGGCACAGCATCCAGCTGTTTATCGCTAATTTAAACTCAGACACGCTCAATGCTGTCTAAGTGTGTATAGGGGGCCTAATGGGGTGCTTCTGATTAGACATATTTGGGTTGTATGCAATGCTATGCATCGGATTGGCCCCGTTGGGCCATTAAGTTGTGAGTCCCTGAGCACAGATATCATTACACGTTCAACATGGTGGAAATACAGTTATTGAGCACCAGCTGGAGAGGTGTGAGCAGCATGTTTGAATAAGTGTTTTTTCTGCGCTCTCACCTTACAGCTTGTGTGCGTGTGAGATGTTTGTGACGGAGTGCCATGTTTCAGTCCTGGTTGTATCAATTTAAAACTATCCCTTTATTTCCGAAAAACAAATACAAGAACCCTATAGCAACAGAACTGCTGTCTTAAGATTCCAGTAAATTAATTGTGTGAAACATTTCGAAATGTTCTTAGAATATTTAATGACAATAAAGAGCTTGTATGAGATCTTGAAGAGTGAAAAAAAAAAGTGTTTGTCCCATTTTTTTCTGATAGGAACAGGAAATCGTTCTTGGGCCGCTGTAATTGTCGGCTTCTATTACCGGATTATTAGAGTGAGGGAGGGATAGAGAGATGAAGTGAGGAAAGGACAGATGGAAGAGACAGAAAGAGGCAAATTCAATTAAGTTATTAAATATTGAGGAGCATAAAGTCCCTAAGCTTCCCACATTCCATTTAGCTTCATATACAAACACTCCACCCTTATTAACAATCCTCTTCCTCTCTTTTGTAAACATCACTTTAATGTTGTCATTTTTGGCTAAGTTCTTCTGTACTGAATGTCTCTCTCTCTCTCTCTCTCTCTCTCTCTCTCTCTCTCTCTCTCTCTCTCTCTCTCTCTCTCTCTCTCTCTCTCTCTCTTCTCTCAGTCTGTCAGTTAATGTGTGTGCTAAGATCTCTGGAATTGGTATTCCTGATTATGTAGGTAAGTGCATTTTATTTTATTTTTTACTTTTAATTAAATGCATTTAGTTTCAGTAAACTGATGTAGTCTTATCAACAAATGGCTTTTCAAAAATAAACATTTCTTACTCTTGAACCAAACCAAACAGCTCTATACGAATTACAAATTTTGATTCAAAGCAGAAAACTAAAAAAAAATAAGTACATGTTACAAGGTACTTGTACCTAAATCAACTTCACATCACAAAACCATTGCAAATGACATACACATCAGCCTTGACTATAAAATATAAAACTATTAATGATCAGTCATTTATATTTTGTATAAAACTATATTTAAATAATTTGTTAAGACATTTATAACAAATTATTCAGATCTATACTCTATAGTTAAAAAGTTTGGGGTCAGGAAGTTTTTCTTTTTTAAAAGAAATCAATACATTTATTCAGCAAATATGTATTAAATTGATCAAAAGTGACAGTAAAGGCTTACATGATTACATATATATATACTGTATATATACATATATTTCAAATAAATGCTGTTCTTTTGAACTTTCCATTCTTCAAAGAATCCTGAAAAAATATATTACAGTTTACACAACAATATTTAACACTTGCCTACAATAGATGTTAGCATTGCGTCAAACGAAAATAGAATCCATTTTAATCACTGACGCCGTCTACACTGGATACAGTATACAGATGCGTGTTCAGTTTCTAACATAGGCTACTCCACGTGCTTGAGGCGTTGATACTGTTTCCTATACAATGCCGTTAGCCAATCATAACAGTGGCCATTTACTGACAAGCCTTAATGGAGACGCCCCTTAAAAACAGATAATTTTAGACAGAGGATCAGAATGAAGGTGGAAATTTTTCGCATATTTATATATATATATTTTTTTTATTGTGCACAAAACTTAACATTATTAGTGAACCTCAAGGAACATATTAAAATAAATAAAATAAAATAAAAAAACGCTTTCATGACCTCTTCATTTAGAGCTTATAGTATATTTTGCAAATTGTTTATAGTCAAATTTATGGTTGAGTCATTTTCTCTATGGAGAAAATGAACAAGACTTCCAAAACTCTTATGTTGCAAAGGCAAAACAAATGATTTTGTCATGCAGTATACATTTTCTCTTGACACTTGCTAAGATGGAGACATTTTATATTTTATTGTTGTCACTTATATGTGTTGTGCTCAGTGTGAGTTTTGTCTCCGCTCGTGTTGAACATCTGTACGTAAGTGCATTCAGTAATGGCCAAAATGGAGAAGGTGCCAAATTCAGTTAAACCAACAGGCAATAAAAGCCTCTTTCCCAGCACTTCTGAACGCAGGCCTGTTAAAACTCAGTGCATATGGTTTTGGAGATGACAAAGAACAGGTGTGGCTGTGTGCGTTCCTGTGCCTGTGAGAGTAACACAGGCTGGTGTGTGTGAGGTGCACGTTTGTTGGAAGCACTATTTGATTGTTGTTCAGAAGCCCTAGTCATTAACCTTAAGAACGTGCAATTTTTATGGTCCAAAACCTGTTTGGTCCGAGCAGAAATTGCCTGAATTAGACTCTGTAAATGTGGAACGAACAATACCGTGCCTGTCTTTCTCTCTCTCTCTTTCAGCTCTGACAATGAACCTGCAGTTGGATTGGCTGAAGCAGCGTGGAGCAGTTAAGCGAATCTTGTTCATGGACTCTCACCAGCACCAGAGAACCCAGCAGTTGGTTCTGGGTCAAGGGGACCGCCAACATTGCCACAACTACTCTGTTTACCTGCGGGTAAGCCTTATAGGCCACATGCATCACAGAGCATTGCTGAACTGGCCTCATTCCTCGTGAAAAATTCTTGTTTTATCTTCACTACAAATGAACCCATGGGAAAGTTAATTGTGAGCCAAACCAAGCTTCTAGTACAACACGGCTCATCTGGACGGAATAAACGATGTGAGAACCCCTCCGTGAGAGTGTGTCGCAAAAATAAGACCAAAAATTCTGTTGCGCTGAGGTGACACAATAATTGAATGCAATCTTAAGTGTTTCTGGGTGTTTATATGACAACACAGGCCATGGGAAAAACTTTTATTAGCCAGCTCAATTTGAACTATGATAAAATATCAGGCAACATTGACCTATCACTATGATACATGGCAGATCTAAAGCACAAACATTCAACAACATATGAATATAAATTAGATTCTGTAAAAAATCTAACAACAATAATTTAAAAAATAAATACACTGATAAATGATTATTATTAAATAAAAATTATTGAATTATATATGTGTGTGTATGTGTGTATATATACACTGATAAATGATTATTAATAAATAAAAAGTACATATATTACATTATATTTATTATAGTGCTGGGCAACGATTACAATTTTTAATCGCGATTAATCGCATGATTTTCTTACGCGCATTGTTACGCGCAAAATTGAGTAATGAATTCTAAAGTAGTGTATTGCGCACTTTTGATTTAAATGTACTGCTATATACACAAAAGTACAATAACATGTGGTTTGCAAAAACTTTAAACAAATAGCCTAATGTTCTTTTTACCAGCACTATTCCCTTTACACAGTAGCAATAAAATATTTATTGCAAATCTCAACTTAAACATTAATGTAATCAAATCAAATATTAAACCAAAGCTATTTGCTACTGCCAGGGCATTACCTTTTATCTAGTTTGTTAAAACAAGTTACCATCAGAGTCCTGTTTTCTTGGGTTTTTTCTGAGGTATGAACAGGTATCTTTTATCAGGGAGCAGCAGACACAGTCTGTGTTCAGTAGCAAGTTTCCCTGTTAGAGTGAGGTGAAGTGTTCGAGCACAAGGTGCAGCGGCAAGCGGGTGCGTTCCCGTGAAACTGTCACGGTTGTGCGGGCATACATGCACGCCCGCTGCCGAAGTTGAATTGTCTTGAACTTTTTGTACACGACGCGCAGCACAAATCATTGGAAGAGAGACTGATCCTCGCTTTTTGTGAGTTTCCAGAATCTAAATAGTTATCAGGACATCAACAGGAGGGAATTCACATGGCAGAGCATCCCCGCTAAACTAAACGCAGGCCTATCAGGTAAAGTTATGTATCATTTTAATTTAAGTTAAAAAGGCTGCAGCTGCGCACTGAAGCCGTTGCCATGGTTATGCATAGAGCGTCTGCCGTTCACTCGCGGAGCGCTGTCTACCTTTCTGTTCACCTGAGAGAACCTGCCGAAGCCTCCCTCTACTGCTTGTTTGGGAGGGTTATTTGCTGGCTGACCAACATCCCACCCCTCCTGTGACCCATGGTTTGACTGTAGGCCTATGTGTATTCAGAGCCAGTGAGCAACGGACTTTCAAAATAATAATAAAACAAAAAAACTGCGTTAACGTGCGATAAAAAAAATTCCGGCGTTACTTAATAAATGTGTTAACGCGTTAACGTGCCCAGCCCTAATTTATTATTTTTTTGCAATACACTTTATTATTCATTAAGGTCATGTTTTTTTTTTTACAAATTTATTTTGAGTAGCAGTTGCATATTTATGTCTGTAACAATTAGTTTGGATTTGTGTAAATAATGTGTGTGTTTTAATGCAGCAGGCTCACATACTTTCCTCACAGCCTAGCTGCTTTTGCTTTTTCTTCACAAATCATTTTGCAAACATAAACATACTTCCTCGTTTTCTCAAATCCTCATAACTTATTAAATAACTGTATTTATTGCCCTTGGCTCTCTGAGGCAAGCATGCTCATACAACAGCTGTGATTCAGTCAAACAGATTGATGTCAAAGGACGAAGATACCGTAATCAAAAGAGTGTAAAGTGAGACTTGTCAGTTCTGTTTGCAATCCACCACTCTCTTTTTTGTCTGATCCTTCTCTGTTTGTGTGTAGGATGAGGGAGAGTTTAGGGATAAACTGAGTCCTATCAGCGTGGCACTGAACTACAGTCTGGACCAGAATTCCCCTCCACCTGGCCTACAGCTGCGGCCCATTTTAGACCACTATAGCAAGACCTTCCACCATGAGCAGGTTTGCATGCAACATAAGTGTTTAGTTGGAGACTGCATGTATGCATCATATTAAGTTAAATTATGATGCCATGACATGCAGGGTTTAATAGAGGGTTCAAAACAAGATAACATCTTGTTGGCTGATTTAAACACTAAAGAGTTAATTAGAGAGAAAAAAAAAGACATAAGTTCAATTCAGTGAACAAACAAACCCAAAGACGGAAAGAGAAGATATTTTCTCTCTCGTTTCCTTTAGGCAAACATCCTGTTGGACTGTGGGGAAGACAACATGTGCATCCCAGATCTCAAACTTTCTGCTAAAATGTGAGTCCGTGGGTCTGATCCGTACATGTGTGTGCCATTGAACAACTGTTTGTATATTTGTTATAATTTATGTGCTTTGTTGTATTATGCATCCTCTGTTTATGTTTTAATCGCATGTCGTTCCTTGATTTTAGCCATATATATATATATATATATATATATATATGGCTAACATTAAAAAGTGTTACTTTGAACAAGTGTAACATTTAACAGACATATATATATTAACATTAAAAAGTGATCTTAAATGCAGATTTCTTTTTTTTACAGGGACCGAACAGAACTTATAATCGGGGATGACAACTTGCTTATGTTAACCATCAACGCCGCCAATAAGGGCGAAGGGGCGTACGAGGCGGAGCTTCATGTGACCATGCCACCAGAGGCGGACTATATTGGTGTGGAGCGCAGACGTGAGGTAAACAACATTACCCACTATCATTTTTTACATATGCCTACGAGATATCGCTGTGTATGTGTTTATGTGGGTCTTGGATAGCCTATTGGATGTAGAAGATAATGAAGACTTTAATTAGTGAAAGTCCTTTGTATGATGTCTTTAATTTATAATTACTCTGATTATTGAAGGTTTATTTTAGTCTTATTCTCCCTAACTGCTGTGTTTAGATTATGACTCACTCACTGTATCCTCTTTTTCCAGAATGCTCATGCATGGGTTTTATCTATCTATCTATCTATCTATCTATCTATCTATCTATCTATCTATCTATCTATATATCTATCTATCTATCTGTCTATCTGTCTGTCTGTCGTTCTGTCGTTCTGTCTGTCGTTTATCTATCTTTCATCCTATCTGTCATTCTGTATTTTTGTTGTTCTATCGTTCTCTGTCCATAATGCCTACAGGCCTTCAAACTTCAAGGCTTTTTAAACTTTTTTTTTTTACTTTCAAACAAGGGCTGTCAAGTCAACATTCAGTGTTTGTGTTGTCAAGCTTTGCTATTTTCTTGCGACACCGGCATGAGAACCAATGACGTCTGTTCTTGCGCCTCACACAGATTCAAGCTTCCGTGTTTAGCACATTTGATGCACTTTTTTTTTTTATCTGCCGTCAGACTGAGGCATTGTTCCAATGACGCGTTGCTATGGGTTGCGTCTTTCTTCAGACTTGACTGACAGATTGGCATTCTGACACTATGAGCTTCACCGTGAGCTGTGTACGTTGGATTGATTTTAACAACTTTAATGTACTTAAAGTGTGCACCAAGCACCAGGAAAATACAAGTATCGGAATGGAACCTGGTATCGGCAGATACTTAATTTTCTTAATATACTTAATATTGGAATCGAGGGCACAAAAAAACTTGATCGGGACATCCCTAAAATCCCCATACTATGGAAGTCAGTGGCTACCGTCAAATGTTTGGTTACGCACATTCTTCAAAATATCTTCTTCTGTGTTTCATTTCAGTTTATTTATACAGGGACAGTACAAAAAAAACATGATCCCAGTCAAAGCTGGAAAATATGTATTGTACATAGAGAGTATAGCAAGAGCTAATTTGCATCTCAGGTCCCTAGAAAGGCTTTTCTAATAAAAAATAAATAAAACAACAAATGACTACTCATAGAATAAAACTACCACAATATGTCACTTATTGACGTAGATGTCACTCAAATACCAACCAAAATTTATACCAGAAATGAGCTTACAACTGAAGCATAAAACTTCACATGCAGAAGAAAGAAACATGCTGTTTAGCAGAAGAAAGAAATTCATATAGGTTTGGAACAACTTAAGGGTGAGTAAATGATGACTCATTTTTGGGTGATATATCCCTTTAAGACAAAAACCTTTACATTTACATAAATAGCTTGTATTTCTTTCTTTTTTTAGCGCATCACACCTGGTTATGACACAGTGTAACGTGAACTTGGGTCTTGTGAAATAATATCAGATTTACTAAATGGCTTTAAATCCATCATGGTGAAATGCTAAATCTGTAATCCATTCTGACACAGAGTTAAAAACACAAACATGAGTGCTGCAATGTCTTTGATGTAGTAATGAGGCAGGAATGCAGTGAATGTTGATCTAATTATGGCAAGGTTTCTTATTAAACACAGTCTAATGCCTCATGCCTTGATGTGCTCTGTAATGCATTGCCGAGATCTAACATACTGTTTATTTCATTTAATACAGCCCGACTTATCTTCATTCATATATTCTGCTGTCATTCAGTCATTCCATCATCCCGTTCATGCATGTCTGCTTTTTCCAGCATGAGACACTGGCGCTCTGTGGCACTAGCCGCAGAAGATCTGATTGCTCTCTGTCTGTCAGTTATGAGTTTAACAGATGCAGTGTATAACTGGTAATTGCAGCGCGTGTTTGAGAGTGGCTCTTAATGCAATTTGCACGACTCCATTAGCCACTCTTCTGGGAACCGACTGGTTACGGTTTGACTCTGTTTTGGTGAGAGGAAGTGGTTACCAGAGGAGGGAGATGGAGGAAAAGGGAGACTGATGTAGGGGGTTGACGAGATGACAGGGGTAGGGCCTCAGTGATGTATGATGTGATTACTATCAGGGAATTCATCATGTACTTTCTCTCCCTCGTTTTCTTTCCTCATTCCCTCCTTTGACCCTCCTGAGACATGTATTCACTGGATTATGCTAGTTATTGACCGGGTTTAATATTGCCTGGTTTTGTTTTCAATGATGTCATGCACCTCTTTTATTTCATTTATTTTATATATTTTATTTTACTTAGATTATTTTAATTACTTTTTTTGTTATTTTTATTTTAACAGTTTAGAAGTAGCATACAGTATTTATAAGTGTAAGATGTGTTAGTCTATTGGTAGAGTTTATGATTTGGATGTGGGTAGAACAAATCCTTTTTAAGGATGTTTAAATGTTTTACATTTTTAATGTTTAAAATAGGGGTTCTGAGGGGGCATGTGTCCCTTTGAATGAGCATAAGGCTTCTGTTTGTGTTCCTTAGATATTCAGCATTTAGTTCAACACAGCAGCTATTATAGATTAAATAATGAAGACCTGAAATGTTTCTTTCTCTCTCAGGATCTTCAGCGGCTGAACTGCGAGCACAGGACAGAGAATGATACCAGAGTTGTGGTGTGTGACCTGGGAAACCCAATGGTGGCTGACACAAACGTAAGAGTCTTGTCACACAAACTCGATTGATACGATGTAATATGTACAATTTGATTTGACAGAAGTTTACCTAAAAGAGAAAACCGACTGTAGAAAAAGATTTGTGGCAACGCTGAGAATGCAGTACGTACTTGCATTGCATTATGAATGTCATTTTTGATGCATTTTTCAACACATAAAATTGTGTTTGTGTTCATTTGCTTGTGTAGATTTTTTATTCTCACGTACTTGCTTGCAGTGAGAGCTTGAATCCCTCAGCGCATTAACATAAATGAGCAGGGCAGAGGAAGGAGGATTTTAGAGGGGTGAGAAAAGAGTAAGACAGCATATCAGTTGGCCCTTTAATAGCCAGATATTTAGCAGCGCTGTCAGCTTACTTAGACTTCAGGTCCTGTATGAGACACCTGCTGATGCAGCGCACACAAACACACACACACACACACACACACACATATATAATATATATATATATATATATATAATATATATATATGTATGTATGTATTTTTGATCAAATAAATGAAACCTAAGATATTCAGACTTGTTTTCAGAGAATATATTTTAAATATATGATGAGTAAAAATGTGTTTTCTTTACCAAGAAAGTGGAAAGATGAAAACCACTATTTTCTGTTTCAAACTTTCACATAGCATTTTTAGGTCATAATAACAAAAAAAAATTAAATCCAGGTTTTGATTTTCAAAGATTTATTATAAAAACGGATTATTATTTTTATATAAAAATGCAATTAATCCATTGAACAAATATAAAAGGTTTTTTTTTTCATATTGAAACTGTTGAAAATACACAACAACGTAAGTTTATTAGTATAATATTTTTAGTAAGTTTTCACAGACAAAAACACGTACTTTCAAAGATTCACATATTATAGTATAAATTTTATATCACTTGTTTAGGCCTATAAGATTTTTTTAAAGATTTGTATTCAACCCATAGCCCTGTTGAGCAAGGTCACCACAAGCTATTGATAGGTAAAGGAATAGCTATCAATAGCTCACAGTGACCTTGCTCAACAGGGCTATGGGTTGAATAATGCCAGAGTTATGCTTCAAGTTTTAAACAATGAATAAAAATCACATTCATTTTATACACTGAATTTGTTGTCTTGTGCATACTATAAATCCATTGCATTAATATAAAATGTGTGTAAAACTGTTCAAAATAGAACTTTAAAGAAGATTGAAAAAAAATTTCCTCCTCCTGAGTGTCTCATCTTCTGAATCTCCTCACGTAAATGATTCAATTTCGATGCCTTATGTTTCTTACCCACCGCAGAAACAACCACAGGTTCATCAATGCCGTCAAAATTATTCATTTTTTTGTTTGTTTGTTGATCGAAAAGTACAAAATAGATAAGAAAAACTAGCAAGCCGGGTGTATTTAAGGCGCTGCCGTTACTGTTTACATTGCGTGGAATGGTGCGTTGTGATTGCTTTCGCAGATATATCGCATTCTGCAGAGAAGGGAGACTGGCGTTTGTCGCGGTTTGGAAAGAAAGGGAGAAAACATGACAGAATAACACGGCGGATATCGCATTTTACTTAAAATTAAACATTGACTTTTCAATACCAACCAGATACAATACTGATTTTTGCAGTAACTAATTTTTTTTTTAAATGGCGTTTATCGCGTTTTGGAACCAAACTCTTCATATGTAGGCCTAGTTTTCTTAATATCTAAACAAAAATTATAATTCTTTTCTTGTTTTAAGCTTTAACCTTGCTACTGTCACACTACTAGAAGGATGAGGACACAAGGAATACGGTTAACAGACTTTATTTATACACCTGTTGCAATATCTGATCTTATAGATGGCTTCGAGATCCACACAGAACTGAAAACAGGAAACAGGGAATAACTGGAACATTAACAGTTTCTTGAATACTTTGAACTCAGAGGTAGACTTGATGATAAATCAGGGCTTGAAGGCAGACACGAATGCACTTTGAGCTTGAATGCAGATACGTAGACACTTGAATAGGAATACCGATCCGAAGACACATGAACTGAGAGCGGACTTGAATAAACTTCCAACTTGAATGCAGAGAAGAGATACAAGGTCCGTAGATGCACAGAAGAACTCGGAGAATCAGACTGGAGAATCCTGAAGCACCGCCGCACACAATGGCTGCTTGGAAATACACACAGGAGAGTGGTTAGTGATAAACTTGAGTATACTTGCTGCGAAAACACGGGAATCCTGGAACCAGAGATGCATGAGGAACCGGCTGAGTCACACGCGTCGATAGACGAGACCGGACAGAGAACAATGGAGAGACTGAAGCTTAAATCCTGTGTGCAGCATGGTGAGTTCGTGATGCAGTGCAGGTGGTGAGTAATCAGTATTCAGGGGATGAGCAGCGTGACCAGGTGTGCTGAGTTGATGCTGGCTGGGGTGTGTCGCTAGGTGTATCCGTGACAGTACCCCCTCCTCCACGGCCAACTCCTGGGGGCCGTAGACCCCGACGACGAGGGCGACCCCTTGGACGAGGGGCAGGACGATCTGGATGGTCACGATGGAAGTCCTGGAGGACCCAGCAGCGCTCCTCCGGTCCAAACCCCTCCCCGTCCACGAGGTATTGGAGCTGACCCCCTCGTCGACGGGAGTCCAGGATGGCGTGGACCTGGTACACGGCGTCATCCGCAGGATCCACAGGAGGAGGAGGGGGCACCTTGCCAGCATCCGTGTCTGTGGGAACAGGAGAGAGAGGAGCAGTGTATGGCTTTAACAGAGATACATGAAAAGTAGGTGCAATCCGGTAGTGCTGGGGAAGTGCAAGACAATAAGTGACCTCGTTGACCTGCCTCAGTACAGCAAAAGGACCTATGTATCTGGGACTCAGCTTGCGGGAGGGCAGCCGGAGGCGGATATCTCTGGTGGACAGCCACACTAGCTGGCCCGGAGCGTAGTGTAGCGTGGGTCGTCTTCGTGTGTCCGCTTGCTGCTGGTGCCTCCGGACTGCCCCCTGCGGGTGGACATGTGCCGAGTCCCAGACCCTCTCACTCTCAGAGAACCAGTGCTGGACCGTTGGAACATCAGATGGTTCTCCAGACAATGGGAACAGAGAGGGTTGATATCCCAGAACGCACTGGAAGGGAGTTAGACCAGTAGAAGTTTGTCGGAGAGAGTTCTGGGCATACTCTGCCCATGGGAGGTATTGGTTCCAGCGGTCCTCTGCTTCATGACAGTAGGTTCTCAGATACCTCCCAATCTCTTGGATCTTCCTCTCTGCCTGGCCGTTTGATTGCGGATGGTACCCCGACGTCAGGCTCACCGAAACTCCCAGTAGCTTGAAGAATGATCTCCAGACTCTCGATATGAACTGAGGTCCTCGATCCGATATGATGTTGTGGCGAGCAGGACGAGGCAGAGTGACGTGAGAGCGGCGCGAGGCCGGTAGTGTGAGTGCTAATGAGCGACACCTGTGAGACCCACCGGTCTCACATCTCTCACGGAGGAGCGGAAGCATAGAGGAGGAGCGACGACAGTGAAGATCAAGAGAGGAACAGGCCTTATTTTATGTTGTGTTTTGTTTCTGTGGCCAGCAGTCGTCCGTGAGGGGCTGCTGGCTTATACTTTCATTTTTGTATTTGTTTATTTATTTATTAAAATCGTTGAACGTTCGCCGGTTCCCGCCTCCTCCTTTCCATAACATCTGAACCCCGTCACAGATGTCTTCTGGAATTCCGAAATGGCGAAAAATCTCAGTAAACAGCATTTCAGCGGTCTTGAAGGCTGTGGGAAGCCCAGAGAGAGAGATCAGCTTACAGGACTTGGAAAATCTATCGACTACTACCAGGATGCAGGCTTTGGAATCAGAGGATGGTAGATCGGTCACAAAGTCCACAGCAATGTGAGACCATGGTCTGTTCGGAATGGGTTGTGGCATGAGTTTACCTTCAGGCAGACGTCGGGGTCACAGGCGTAACTATCGGTAAGCAGGGTACGCGGTTGCTTACGGGCCCGGACCAATCAGTGGCCCGCGTGACTGGAAGATATTGATTGACAGCCGGGGCCCCGTATCGCATTTTACTACTTTTAGTCTGATCGCATTTTACTTTATCACAAATTTATTTGAATAAATAATGACAACAACATATTTTACTGATCATTAAATACACGTGTGAAAGGAACAATGATGGATTTTGGTGTAATTTATTTCGAATTGGGACTGGGGAATCCCCGGGTCGGTAAGTGAACATGCGTATTGCGTGGAAAACAGTAAAAACGTTGAACTCGAGACAGACAATATCGATATGGAGTCATCAAATTACAAACACAAAAGTTGCTTTCAAAAGCGAAAACGAAAAGAGGAATTCGAGAAATTAATGAGTAAATTACCAAAAATAGGAAGCTTCTTTAAAAAGATCGCACAGGAGGGGGAGATCGAGCTGGAGCAAGAGAGTGAAGCGACCGTTGGCATAGCAGTGAGTAACAATGTGTTATGGTGCGCCGTCACCAGCAGTGTTTTTTCATGTGTTATGGTCCGCATTCACAAGTGTTTTTTTTGTTGTTGTTTTTGTAGTGCGCAGAGGCTACTCCTGATTTTGTCAGTCATCTCATCTCTTATATGCTGTGTCTATGATCCTATCCTGTCCTATTCATGGTAACGTTAGCCAACTCGTGGACATTGCGTCATCACGTGCTGTAATAGGGGGGCCCGCCTTGATAATCCTGCATAAGGGCCCGGTGTTGGCTCGTTACGCCACTGGTCGGGGTACTTTGGCCATGGCGCAGGCTGCACATCCTTGCACGAACCGGGAGGTATCTTGAGCCATCCCTGGCAACCAGTAGTGCTGTTGGAGAAGTGAGAGGGTTTATTGGCTGCCTGGGTGTCCCGAGCCCGGAGAGGTGTGTACTGAATCCAAGAGGGAAAGGCGGAGAGTAGATGGTACGAATAATTTTCCCTCTGGACCTCCCGGCGGAGCAGGTTCGTTCAAAGTGGCGTCGGCTATGAGTTCATCGATGTTCCACTGGA